CCCCAAAACCCCAAAACCCCAACTGGCTGGCATAATTTGAAAGTTTTTAGCTGTATTAAATTAGATATATGCAAATGAGGCTGGTAGAAACTAAAATTATTAATATATTATAATTGCTGTTGTGAGCACCAATAGTGTCAAATGAATATTAATTCCCTTTACACGGCTGGAATCAATAGAACCTCAAATCTAACCTATGCCAACTACTTTGGGGATGGAAGCGGAAGAGACAAGTATGTGATCTTTGAGAATGGGGGTTTGTGTCATTAGAAATCCAGAATGCATGAGTAGTCCTCACATATGCTGCCCAATAACCAGGCGCCACTCGCATCTGCTTCAACTCTCAGGTAAGCATCTATAAACCTAATAAGGAAATACAGAATGAGTTAATCAAATAAACATATCCCAACACATAAGTATCACCCTGACGGCACTGGCAGAGACATGTTTGTTGTTACTAATAATGGCGGTTAGTTCAGAGGCTTCAAAGAACAAGACTATCACTTCTTCGACAAACAGCTGAGGTAAATATCCTTAATAGAATTTCATCTTTTCCACTTACTAATAATTTATCCTTAATTTCATGATACTTAGAGGATATCAAAAGAGCAAAAAGTGGTTATGCAGCAGTTAGATAAACTCAATGACTCACTCGCCAAGTGACGGCTCGCCTCAACTAGCCATGATGAGTGAAAAGTACAAGAACTTCCTTAAATAGGAAAAATAGAAGTAACTAAATTTAAACCAAAGACTGTCCATTCCCAAGTACATAGAAATAAAATAAAACGAATGTGAGAGCTTGACTCAGACTCACACCAATGGCTTTAAGCAGAGCCCTGAAAAGATTGAAACAGATGCTGATATCATGACTGCTCCCACCAAGTTCTTCTCTAGAAGAGATATAAGAAATAGTTTGGTATTAGATTATAGATCGCAAGCTAACTTTTCAAAATCACCAGAGTCTCACAAAAGTAAATAGAACAAAATTAATTAGAATACAACACAGTAAGAATACTTCTAGACCACTTTAAAACCAAGCAAGTAACTGTCCAGTAAATCTCTATTTTCAAATGAGATCATCAAACAAATGAACTCTACATCAACTCTCTCGACTGCTAGCAAGCCCAGAGGATCAGTTAACATCCTAGAGAGGATAAAGTAACAGTAGGATATTCCAACGACTATGATCATAGATACCAAGTCGCCTGAAACAGTTCCAAGTTAACTCCTTGCCTACTATGATAAGGCTGCAAGAAGAAAGAGCAGATAGATGTAATTGGAATCTCAAATGTCTGGCAAAGCCTCTTAGAGAAGTATATTATTAGATAAGTTGCTTTAAGAAGGAGGAGTGAATGAATCTGGACAGAAAAACGCAATGGGAAAGAAAGCCAGTGTACCTGGTATTATGAGAATCTAAGATGTTTCATAAAGCCTTTTGAGTTCTAGTCATTTGCAAAACAGACTTAATTCAAGACTCTCTGGGTTTAGCAGCACTAAAAATGCCAACACTCACAGCATTATACTCAATGGAATAGGCATGTCAAATAATTAAAGTAACCAAAAATTCATTAACCAAATCAAGAGCTAAAATTAACTTGGCTTTCCCTCTGGCAGCATAGATTAATTATGAACTAATTTACTACATTACTAATATCTTTATTAAAAACGAGAATGTTAATCGTGGGGTTTTGGGGTTTTGGGGTTTTG